TCTCTCTCTCTCTCTCTCTCTCTCTCTCTCTCTCTCTCTCTCTCTCTCTCTCTGTCTCTCGTTCCAGCAAATAGTTTCATTTAAATAAATTATCTCTCCGATTTCTTCCTCCGCGAATCGCGCTACTCGTGTATGTATACGCAGTTCAGTGTGATTCTCTCATGGCTCCGTTCTCACGCGCGAACGGCACGGGAAATGAGAGATCTGCTCGTTTTCAAAGAACTTTTGGGCCAGTACCATAAGTTGGTGTGAAAGAAAGTGTATTTGTTTCACTTCTAACTTATTGCACAAGTTCTTCGGAAAGAACTAGCAGACCTAAAGTCGCCGGTATGCGCGATTGTCGTGGTTTGCGAGGAAACTTGTGCGCAATCCGGTGTAACATGTGGCGCATGTGGTGTTGGATAAAATTAATCCGGCCTCGATTCCGCATCTCGAGACGCTTCGATGGTCGCGGACCAACCGTCACTTGCGAGATGAATCGCTCGATTTCTGCGTGCGTCGTCCCGACGACGCGTCTCCCCGTGTAAACGCTACCGTCGGCTCGACGAGTATCGCGGCGCACACCCGTGTCTATGAATCGCATTACATTTTCCTGCGCTGTCAACGTCGCTCAGGCAGTCGTGATAACGAGATAATTGAAAAGCAGAGAGAGAGAGAGAGAGAGAGAGAGAGAGATAAAGAGAGAGAGCGCGAACGAGCGGCGTTTTCCCGAGGTGCCGACGGCACGCCGCGCGCAACTTAGACCAATAAATCCCTTCCGGCAATTATTTATTTTTCCACCGCACTAATGCCCGACACTATCTCCGCTCCCTCCTCGTCACGCACGCACGCATGCATGCATATGTACAGGTTCCCGTGCGCTAAATATCTGGGCGCACCCGTGTATAAATACGCGCCGGACGAAATTGACCCGCGTTACGTGAGAGGAAGAGGGCGTAGGAGGAGGAGGAGGAGGATGAGGCGGAGGTGGTGGTGGGCGAAACGCGAGCGGAGAGAGCCGAGCGACGACGGAAAAATATTTGGCTACCGAGCAAATTTTCATTCGACTGTAAACACCCGGCGAGCCGAAGCGGAAAAGCTCGTACGAACGACGAAAATAAATCTATATACCGCGGAGCGCCGCGCCGCTCTCACTCACTCACTCACTCGCTCGCTCGCTCACCCGCTATCCGCAATTACGTTATATCTGTAGCTGCCATCGCGCGCGCACGGCGCTCCGCCGATTACCCGCGCTCATGCCTGGAAAAGCGGGCAGAAAAAAAGCTAAACGGAAAAGCGGAAAAATAGACGCGGCGCTCGGAAGAGGGACAAGAAGGGAGGGGAAAAAAGCACGTCGCGCTCAAAAATGGATTTGCTTGTTACCACCGCCGCCGCCGTCATCGTTGTCGTTGTCGTCGTCGTCGTCGTCGTCACGGCGATGGAGAGCAGACTGGAAGACTTCCAAAAACACGTATACGGATTTTCTCACCGCAATAGATTTTTTTCCGGCTCCGAAATTTCTTCCCGCGATCCGTGTCGATCTGCCGCTTTCTCGTTGCCTACACAGGTACAAGGTGTTAGCGGTCAGGTGAATCTCGCTTTATCGACGTGGGATGCAGGAAACACGAGGATTACCCGAGCGATCGACTCTCGATTCGCCGGGAATCGAGCGCGCGAATTATTTGCACGTGTTACAAACATGTAAAAAGAAGAGAAAGACAGAAGGACGTAACCCGAGGAGAAGACGCGCTCGATCGAATACTTCTCAAAGAGCGCGTCCGACTTACGTTCTGTATCAACTTTATTTCTATTTGCACGCTCTCCTAATACCTTTTTACGCTAATACCTTTGCACAAGCGTGCGGCGATAATCTCATTAGTGTCCCGCTGACGACGACGACGACGACGACGACACGGATCGATCTCTTTCGCTGTAATTATTTCCGGACGCGACAGAAAGGAAGAGACGAGGACAAAATTGAAATCGAAACGAGAGAGAGAGAGAGGGACGCGCGAGAGGATGGTCGGGAAGAGCGAGGGAAAACGCGCGCGCGCGCGCGCGAAAGAGAGAAAGCGAGAGAGAGAGAGAAAGAGAGAGACAGAATGGTATCTCGCGCGGGCATGAAATTTGCGGACCGTGGGTTTGCTCACTCGCTCGCTCGCGCACGCTTCCGCAGAACCGCAATATGCATTGGTAATTACACCGCGATGAATTACACCGCGGAATGAGCGAAGCGTGTTACGTGCAATTGGCGCGAGCATTATAAATCTCGTCACGTGCAAACAGTTGGCCACCTCGTCTCTTTCTCTCTCTTCCACTCTCTCTCTCTCTCTCTCCCTCCCTCTCTCTCTCTATCCATTGACACGACCACTGCCGCTAACCCAGCTGTCCGACGGAATCTCTCAGACGACTTGTGAGAAGAAACTTCCGCGAACGAGGACGTGCGTCATACTTTTAATGACGCCGCCGTCGACCGATTTCGATCTATTATTACACGCGATTACACTCGCACAGCATACACCACGCACGCAGCGCAAAGCCGATTAAAAATTCGACGATAAAAAAAGAATGATTCTCGTCGGAATAATCGCGCAATCTCGCGAGCGCCGCGCTCGAGATTGAGTCACGTGCTCGCGCGACAATAACGAATTTACTAATTATTATCGCGCCAATAATGCGCCGATCGCGGCCAATGGGGAACGCCCGCTTCCTGACTAATCGTTCGTCGGGTAGAATCGCAGGGTGCCTTGGATTAATTCGAGGTACGTGCCATGAATCGCGAAAGAACGGCTGCGCGCATATATCGCGAAGGAATAGCTGAATATCCGACTTAGCCCAGTCGCGCGGTATTCGGTACACTTCCACGTTCCGCTGTCATCGTCCTTTCTGTCGATGCTCTCGATATTCGGGTGAATCGCAGGCTCCTGGGCATCTCCTCCTCGTCATTTCTAACGCCGTCGTCGGCTACGACGACGACGACGACGACGACGACGACGCTCCGGTGCTTGACCGAGTTGACACAGGCGGTGGTTATTGGCACTCTGCAGGGCCTAGCCGCCAGGGCTGTTGACGTACAAGCTGTACAAATATTATTTCCGGGCAAACCGGCCCGTCGATCATTACGAAACCCCAGGCGGAAAGTTTCAACGGTTACTCCTCCCCGCCCCCTCCGGCCCCTCGTACAAACACACACGTGCTGTTCTCGTGTATCATCGGGTCCTTCGAATTGACCACGACGACGGGCTTGCGCCAATCGTGCGACGCCCGCACCGACGGCGACGGCGGTGGCCCTTAGAAATTAGATCTATTGGCTAGATCGACTCGAGGGCTTTCGAGCTCTTGCGCCCAGCATGTGATCGGTATTTAGAAGATACAGCTCGATTGATCCTTATCGGGGCCCTGCATATCGTCGTACATTTTACTCGTAGTTTATTTATAGTATCTATTTCGATGGATAAATATATATATATATTTTTTTTTTCTTTTGTTTCTTTTGCCTTCTCCCTCTTTGTTTCACGAGAGTGACTTAATCTCGCGTGTTTATCTTACTCTGAGCGTCATTTTTCTCGCCGCGCGCGTTTTCTTCATCTATCGTGTAATCAAAGGCCCGATAAAATTCCCCTTTCGTCATCATCGAGTCCGCGAGATTGATTACCAGCGCGGAGTTTTTCAATCGTCCGAACGACCGTCGCTAATCAATTTGGGCGAATTGAACTCAACCGCTCGAGATCGTAATTCGACTCGCGATTCGATCAGCCACGTCCCACGTTTTAAGAGAGAGAGAGAGAGAGAGAGAGAGAGAGAGAGAGAGAGAGAGAGAGAGAGAGAGAGAGAG